CTGTGACTATCTTTAAGAAGAAACTAGATGCTTTCATGGACAGGCAAAAAGGTGGGGGGCAATGTTGACGTAGGTACTAGACAGTAAGCAACTAGGATAGTAAAAAAAAAAACAAATATATATATATATATATATATATAAAATAATTTTAAAAAATACAAAAATATAGCTTTAAGAAGGTTAGACCTACCCTAAAATTAAGGAACGCTCGACCTCGACACGTGATATCGAAATGGGCGAAATCGCCTCTTGATATCACTAACTCTCTTTACTCTTGACTCTTGAGGGCTGTAAGGTTCGATCGAGTGATCGCCAGCTCAAAGCCTAAAACCAAAAAACTAGAGACTCTGATTTGTTTGATTTGTGGGACAAACAAAAAAAACACCTCAACAGGAAGGTCGGAATCCTGGAACCAGGCTTCTCCATCATTTCATGCAACATAACCGATCGCCACAATCGCCAGGAAGGAGGGCGCGAGAAGTAAGATGTATATGAATACGGAAAAACTGTGACATACGTATTGTTGATCGGCGTAGAGCGTATCCCCTTTGTAGGTGTAGACCCAGGGTCCTCCTCTCGATGAGTCCTCCCGTGCTCCCTTCTCGCTCTCTTTCTCTGGAAATGTCCCACATGAAAGTTCCTCCCTCCTCTAGCGACTAACCTCGAGACACATCTCTGGATCCCATACGTTAATGGCACTCAGCTTGTTATAAGAAAGCGGAAATTTCTACGCTCCCGAGACCCAAATTAGCGGTCTTCGATTTTAATTTGTAGTGAAGATTCCTTTGTTCCTTCACGAACGAAAAATCGCGAAAACTCGACTCACTTGGCTCGTAGGAGTCGTCGATGAGGTTGTTCTCGAAGGACTTTTCTTCCTTCTCTTTCTCTTTGTCCCTGTCCTTGTCCTTCCCCTTATCCGCGTCCTTGTCCGCGTCTCGATCCCGAACGGTCAAGACGAGATTGCCGCTTGCTTCTCCGGCTGTTGGAGTTTCAAGTCGCATCGTGAGTCGAAACACAGAATCGGCAGATTAAAGACCTGGAAAGTCACGAATACTCACCGATGCACGTATAAATACCAGAATCCTGGAGTCGAAGCCTTCGAATTCGGAGCGATCCCTGCTTCGAGATTCGGATCCGACCGTTCTCCAAGATCGGCCAGTCGTCTTTGGTCCACTTTAGCTCTGACCTACGCAGCAATAGTAACTATTCATCGCTGATATCCGCATGGTGTGAGTAGTGTGAGTGCATAGTGTGAGTTGTGGAAAGAATCGGATCTATAGGAGGTATTATCTGCTTTGAATGACTGCAGAAGGATTTCCATCGTCCTTGACGTGGAAACTCACCTATCGAATCGCCTGACAGGGCATCGAATTTTCAGGGTCGTCCCGCGAAGAAGACTCGCCTTGCCACCGATCTTCACGGTGACCTTTTTGGTCGGCTCAGTCTGGACGTAGTCCTGGTCCCAGTTACCCTTGACCGTGATCTTCTCCTTCACCTTCGGAGCGCAAGGTCGTCGATTCCGACACCTACTAATCGACGCGGGTCTCTTTTTGGGACACTTGTCCTCGGGGACTCGGGTGGTGTGACCCAGGGCGTGAGTGTGGATGCAAACGACGTCCCGGGTCCTCTGTCCCTTGCCCCCGCCGCAGGGGGCGTCGCAGGGAGACCACTCGCCGGGGATCCAACTGGGGTGGCAGTCCACATGGTTGCACGACTGCTTGGAGGGTGGTGGGGGCTGCGGGCACTGGGACGGGTCCACCGTGAGGATGTTTCGAACCCCGCGCGTCACCTCGTGCACGCACTCCACCGTTCGCGTCTGCACGCCTCCTCCACATGGCTGCGAGGGGGCAGAATGAATCCCCTATGACTGCTTCGGAATTTATTGCCACAAGTTTCGCGCGTTACTATCGGGTTGGGTAATAGCGCTACAGTCTGCTTTTTATAAGAAAGGGATCGGAACGCAGCCTTCAACCTCCTCGTAATTAAGGCCCACATCTTGAATCTCAGCAAACAAGCCCGTGCATGACCTGAATTTTCGAGTAACTCTCTCCTTTCGAAATAAGCGAATCCTGCACGAAAAGCCGTGGTACCTTGGAACAAGGAGAGAAGGTGGATACGCTCCACCTTGGAGGGCAAGGGTGCTCATTGCAGGTTCTCGTCACGGAATCCGGTCTCTCCGACAGGGGACACAGGAACGGTGACATCACTCGTTCGTCCGACGTCCGAACGCATTCGATTATCGACTCCTGCACTCCTGAAACAAAATAAATCCCACATCACTTTAAAAGAAGAAACCGAGATTCGGTGGAGTCAGATGTGATGTGCGACACATACCCCCGAGACAGGAAGCGGAGCAAGGGCGGTATCCGTTGCTTCTCCACGAATATTCCAGGGTCTCGTGCTCCGGGATCTTGTTCTCCTTTTCCTCCGTCCAGCCTTCCAGTCTGTAATAATTCAACAGACCGATACTGGATTCTACCAATTATCTCATTTAAATCCTAAAATAGACGAATAAGAATAGGGTAGGAACTAGCTGAATTTGAGCCAAGAGTGCCACTACAGCATCATCTATCGGAGGAAGCTTATAACCTATGTTTCCAGTTTCATAACACAGGTGTCGTCCGCTGCGCCTTTTTTTGCTTCCTTCACAGCCATCCAAGTATCTTGAAACACTTCGTGATTGAATCTTCCTGTGCTTTGAGTGCCAGGTGGAATGAAATTTGCATGCGATAGACTAGAGAGGTTCAGGGAGGCGTCTTGGATTTCCGGCCTCCATTCAGTTGCATGAGGAAGGGTGGGGGGAGTGGGGGGGCGTTGAACTCCCCCATTCCTTCTGCGTGAATGGAGGTCGAAATTCTCAGATGCGTCCCTGGACAGGCAATTGTCTCATCCGGCCGCAGTCTTTTGCAACTTGAAATAAAAATGAATAACAAGGCACTAACGATTTTGCTGGTGCAATTTTAGCAGATTAGGCAACAAGTTATCCTTGAACATAAAAAGTTATTTTGGTTGATTCTCCTAATGCCTTGATATTGCATTGTTAAACAGTGCGAGAAAGCTTTTGGAAGATAATGGAAGGATATTCATTACTCCTTCAACAGTCAGCTGTATCGGCAATCGGCTCCTTTTTTTTTACCCTGTAAGCAAAAAAAAAATTACCGATTGGAGAGGGAGCAAGGCGAAAGGAGGCAGCGTTGCATTTCCTTGGGCTTTGGACCCGGGCATTCCTTGTCGGGGAGTTCCGCCACTGTCCGCGAGAATTCCAGGAATATCTTGCACTTCACGATCCGTTTTTGCACGCCTTCGCCGCAGGTGACGCTGCAAGGTCCCCACTCCTCTGTTGTGAACCTGGAGGTTCCAGAGAAAATGTTGCATTTTTTTCCCAAAGAGAGCCATCAACCTACATCACCTTTACGAACCTCAACGCGCAGATACGCAGCATAACTTATTCGCTCAGGTTTCGCCTACCTACTTGTAGTTCCCATTTAAAATAACGTGGCCGTGGATTTGTGGCTTGAAGGAGACGATTATGTCACTGACGCCGTTGATAACGGAAATTACATACAACTACAAGAACATCGATCGTATGAGCTGTTTCTCAGGCTCATGGATTTGTCAGTCTAATCCCGCATGGGCCTGAATATCAAATTGCGTCAAATTCAGCAACGGAGAGGAGACACGAAAGAAAGGGACTCGTTTCGTAACCATTCCGGAGAGTTTCATGTTCCATTAGTTGTCCCCTGAGACATCATATGCGCTATTGAACGTTTTCATACTGATTAACCCTTTCGTTCAACCTGAAAACAGTTTTTTAAAATTACTTTTACGCTTATTTCACCCATTGACTCATTCATAAGAGGCATTAATCCTGAAGCACGCTATCCACCCAGACATTGTTCACCCAATGGTAGCAACGGCAACCAATAAGTTGTCTAATTACAATTGATTTATTAATGAAAATACTATTGAAATTAGAGGTTGATTTATATAATGGGTGAAGCTATGAATATTTTCATGCGAAGAGCCAAGAGAAATAGGCTGTAAATGATTCTTGACTGAAATGGATAAGGAAAACTCCGCTACAGTGCTCCTACATCTTCTGCATCCTTCCCTCTGCATTGGCTTGAGATGCCAACTAAGAGCGAATCTTTTCAGACATTTTTCTGTGATTTGCCTCTGTCGTTGAAGCAATCCAGTCTCCTCACTTTCAATTATTATTATTGGAATTATTATTGTAGTTTTCCACGGCCTTTTTCGCCGGAATTATTATTGGAATTATTATTGGAATTATTATTGGAATTATTATTGGAATTATTATTGGAATTATTATTGGAATTATTATTGGAATTATTATTGGAATTATTATTGGAATTATTATTGGAATTATTATTATTATTAATATTACAATTACTGGATGTTCTCAAACATACCTGCTCCCTGACTGTAGATATTCGTGACGCTGTCACCACCAGGGCAGATCGAGATGATGATAATAAGTGTAAAATTAGTGTAAAATTAGAGACTAATTAGCTTCAATTTCTGCAGCATAGAAGGAAATTATTAGGCCTACTAATTCCGTTCCGGAGTTATCATGAAAACGCTGTCTATGGGATAGCGGAGTAGAGCTAACTTCATGTAAAGTTGCCCTCCCAATACCGCTTCCCCCCTTCCCCCCTCCCGGAATGAGGGTAAGTAACTCATGTGGGTCTCTGAAACCTTGCTTGCCACTAGTATCTAACTAGTATTTATTATTCCAACAAAGTGCAAAAAATGAGCCGTTCAAACTAAAAAAAAAAACAGCTCTTTGCATTGCCTTGAAGTGAAGCCACTCACCGTCTTGTTGCTCCTGCACTCCACGGCAGGAGCATTGCGTCACAGTCCTAAAATCCCATCCAGTCATCACCAAACGTTTGGGACCCCATGGGACCCTTAATCCCGCATAATCTAGAACCCTTACGCCCGCATTCCCTGCTCGTGTTCTGCGTTGTGTAGCCTTGGAACAGGTAATGGAAAACCCACCAGACTTCGACCAGTAAATTATTCCACAAAAGCAAAAGCGACCTCGATAGCGAAAACTGACTTCCTTATTCCATCATTTATACATAGCCATGCAAAATAAATAAATAAAAAGTGAGTAAAAGCAAAGCCCACATATCCTCATTATGGCAATGGAAGTCGGGAACACAGTTGAGATGGAGGAGGAAGGGAGGTTGGAGCAGGGGGAAGGGAAGTGATTTGAAAGAACTTCACGGTCCGCCATTTGGGGATCCCTGCCCTACGGTATATCAAACAAAAGGATGTTGCGACCTCTGGCACACAGAAGAGCGCATTTTGGATGAAATTCTGTCCCAGATGCATTAATCTACTAGCAGTTGGAAGCAAGAGAATCCTGTATCCTAATAAAGTGGTTTCCAAGTTGCCTGCACTCAAGTTGGTAGTGGAATAATTTAGCGAAATTTCCCATGATTTTGCCATCGCATTACCCCAGACACCTCTATTCCGCCGTCATTATATTGGCCCTGAAACTAACTGCAGCAATTATCGTACAGTATTTCGGCTGAAGGTTCAACATCACGTCAACTCTCAAGCGATATTGCATTTTCAACCATTATAGTGATTGAAATATTGGAAATCCGTCTGGACTCGGAAGGAAGTGTGGTATTCGACCATCGAGGCTTCCACAGAATCATCACTCTGGGGAATGGGAACAACTCACACCAGGCGACAAGCGACAAACTTCTTGATTTGGTGCCAATCCTCTTAATTTGGTGTCAATAGTAACAGTGATCCCAGGTTCACAGGCGCACCCCATATTTGTGCTTTCACAAGTGCCACTAGCTATAAAAACTCTAATGATTCGCACGATGAACAACCGACTTTACTTAGCCATGATGCTTTAAGCCAGGGATGTGCAACCGGATGCAACCCGGTCGCTAGAAGCAGGTCCACAGGGCACTATTAATGCGTAATGGGATAATATATCGAATGAGTTCTTTTGCAGCCCAGGGCACATTACAACGTTGGTCATCTCTTAGTAACTAGAAATGGACTACGTTCTTTTACTTCCTTCCCCTAATTATTCCTGGCGCGGACTTTGTTTCAAAGGTCCCGAGGAAGGCGGTTCTCGACGCCAAATCTATTTTTGGGCTTGGAACTTCCTTGGGGTGGGGAAGAGGTGAGGGTTGTCGGTCAATCAGCGCGACCTTATGCCCTCATATGCCGAGGACGAAAGAGGGGAGCCTTTTCTTTTGCATTCTATGGCCCGCGTGAAGAGTCAGACATTTCCATGGGGCCCATTGCCAATAAAGGTTGCACACCCCTGCTTTAAGTCCTTTCATTAAAGAACGCATTACTTTGGAGTCCCAACAGTTTTACAGGAGAAAGCAACATCTTTGTGTCGAGCCAGTGATGTCACGTATCTGTAGACATCAATATCGCGCCTGAAAACAGAGAATTCTGAAGCATCGGGGACAGCTTACTCCGTCAGCAATAACTGGTAACCAAAGAGCCTGTGGATGCACGTCAGGCACTTCTTAACAATTCTCTTGGGATTGTACTGTAAGGTTAAGCTTCCATAGAGCCTCTGAATTTACCCACTGCAAGACAGGGCACGTCCCAGAAAAAGTTCCTGCAGAAAATCGGATTATTGTTTACTCTTGTACGGCCTCATCTCCGTTCTCGTATACATTATTCAGCACGTAACTATTTGAATTTTATGGGTTTTTTTTGGATTTGAGTGGATTACTGATCACAAACAGGCACTAGTTGCACGTAAAGTTTCAGAGACCCACATGGACTCATCGCTTTGAGGAGCCCGCTTTCACATGGGTCTTTTCATCGAGGAGGTCAGCTTCATGTTAAGAGGGTCCATGCAGAACTTCTTTGCAACACGGTTGGAATTTTTACACCCATTCCTGCAGCGATGTTCAGCACTAATTTTTTCCCATGTATCACTAATTAGCACTGATTCCGCGCTCATTATCACTCAGGTGTGTCGCCTGGGGGACTTCGTGGGTATATGATGAATGGGAGAATTAGACCACTGAGCACACACAGCGATAACCCAATATAGCACTCCTGCGTTCCTTACAGATGTTGTCTGAATACAGATATATGAATGTCGGGAAAGTTCATAGTCAGAGCCCGTAATAGTGGAGAAGCCTGGTACAGTATACCTATACAGTATTTTCCTCTTTTTTTCCAGTCCAAATTCTGTAACAGTTTTAGAGTTTGAAAAAGGCCATTGGACAACGCAGCTGAGATGTCTCTCTCTATGGAGCGGAGCCTATCGGACTGAAGTTTTTTCCCCCGAAAATTGTATTGAGAAACTGCTGCCAACCACATATGTCTTCTAATTCTGCTCCAATCTTCCATTTCGGTCTGCTATAGACGATAGCAAACTCGTGCAAGAAAAAGGTAGTATTTCTATCTCTTTGATCACCATGGTCAAAAGACAATAAAACCCAATCCATATATTATTATATGCATTGACCTTGTGATATTTTTCCGACCCAGGATAGAAACGCCGATCTGGAGAAATTGGACCCATCTATGAGTATGCCCGATCAAGGAGACCGGAAGATAACGAACGTAATCTTGAATGTGATTATGAAGCCATAGAGATGCGTTTAGAAAAATAGTGAAGAAATTTCTTAACTAGTTCAAACATCTTTGCTCCCGAAGAGCAGGAAAGCCAAAGCACATACGGCGTTTCATCAAAACATGAGTTCGTTTGACGGCATCCCGAAAGCAATCACAGCCTATACAGAAAAGTTCGCAGTCTTTGCAGTCCTTAGAGCAGTTGCAGCTGACGTGATGCTGAAAGAAACGCAGAAAGCAGAGATTTTCTCATCTTATTTGGAAAGTGACCAAGGCCCGAATCCACAAACCTCATTTAAGGGAAATGAAAAAAGGGACCTTTTAGCTAAAGAGCCCTTTTTCTCTCACAGGAGTTCATGTATTCTTAAAGGACCGTTGACTAAAGGAGGTTTCAGCATTCGGACCTCAGAAAACGTTGATTCGAAGCATTAAAGACCTTTTTATAGTTCCCCCAAGCTCAAGATATTCCTGACTACCAGAGTGCCAGTCATGACAAACATACCTTCAGCATGATGTGTCAAAGACGAATGCCTCCTCTAGAGGTAATCATCTCGAGTGCATTACATGCTGCGATCGTGCACTTGCATCGCAACACATACGCTTGATGCCAAAGCAAAGTTACCTGTGATATACGCGGTTCTATTAACAATTGTCACACAAACAGACCAATTCCAGTACCAAATTTCTGCATATCGCATGAGGATACATTGCACGCGATCCATTAATGCCCCAAGAAGGGTATTGGCAAGACACGCGCAAGGAAGAAGAGAATTTTAGATTCTTGTTAAGAAGGCGAATAAGAATAAGAGGAGAATCCTGCTTTTGTCACGGGAGATTCACGACCCGATGTCTTTCTTTGGCCTCTGTCGTCAGAATCATTGTGCAGAAAGATGGAGAAAGGCCATCAAAGGCATTTCCCGCTCCACTTCATGCCAAAACCCCCCCTAGAGATGATCCTCTGCCAAAATGTCTCCTCGCTTCCCGAGGGAACCCCATCCATTCACAGAAAATTCGGAGGGAGGATGAATCGAAAATTGGAAGGAAACTCATTTTTCTCTCCTTGTGCTTCTCGTCACGCGTTACGCAAGTCTTCCCCTCCCTGGCGCATGCAGTAGTCTGTAATCCTATTCCCCAGAAGGCACTAATCCCAGACGAATCACTCCTCGTGTCAAGGCAGAGAATGAGATAAGAGAAGAAAGGGCCGTGGACTCACGTGGGCTCGGAGGGCACTCGATTTTCCTTTTCCCGTTCCGGCTGGGTCAGGCGCTGGAATGATGCTATTCCCCGAAAAAAAATATAAAAAACTTTTGCCTATCTTCGCCATATGGAATGAAATTATCCACGAAGAGCACTCGAGATACTTGAAAACTGAGAATGGAATTCTTTCCCGCTCTGGGGTTTTAAATACTTTCCCGTGAAAATGAAATGAAGCTCTCTTTCCAAAGAGTTTTCCTTCATTGTTTCAAGCTAGGCTTACCTTGTCCTTGGGGGGTCGGGCAAGGAATGCCAGGATGGCATTTTCGGGTCTCCTCCGGCTTGCTACGCCCATCACAGGAACTGGATTGAAATCCCCGGTGATCTCGACACAACACCAGCCGGCTTTCCATTCCTTCCCCGCACGACGCGGAGCACTAGGAACAAGAACATGGCTTTTCAATTCAATTCAGTTCCATTCTTTTCCGAATCGATTTCTTTTCCTCCTCCGGTAGTCTTCCCTTATGTGATTTTTATATCGACTTCTTTATGTGGATTGAATCAGTTTCCCCTCATCTGGCATGACAGTGAATGACTGAGGAATATATTAGGGCGGCTGGAGTCCTTCCAGGAATCTCCACAAGGAATCGATTCTCACAAGTTCTCGGTGCTCTGGGAATCATCTCGGCTAACTCAACAACTCTTGTTTTTCCTTCACCTTTCAGTGTTATGGAATTGAAATTGCAGAATAAGAATGATTCCTTATTTCTCGGAATTTTAATTGGAATGGAACTTCTGCATCAGGGGCGTAATTAGAATGAAATAGCAATTCTCCATTTTAAAGAGAAAAAAAACTCAATTTCGCATCGGATTCCAATTTAAAACCTATACATGGCTGAGATACTGCCTCATCTCAAGTATAAGAGGCTAACTCGTTTTTTAAAGGCATGTCCTTAGCAGTAAAACCAAAAAAGCTTGTTCCCTCGACAAATCATCTATTGAAAGACTACCTTACCGAGAGTCCCACTTACATCAAGTAACTCGATTTGAAATGCCAAGAAGACAGATGCTTTAGTTACTTTAGAAGACAATTCTCCCTACGGGAAGAGAAAACACGCTCTTCGAAAAAAGCGAGCGCCAACTCCACTTACCCTCCTCTACTTACCCTCTGATGAGAGTTAAAAGAGAGGAAAATTAATTTCCTCTTCTTGTTGGTCTTCCAGAATAGCGAAGGGAGGGAAAAGAAGCAAAATGAGAGGAAAACTGAAGTTGACGCTAGCCTCTTCTTAAGAGTGTAAAAAGAAAACCATGCTTGAATGGTATCATTCCAGAAGTGGTTTCAGTGCAAAGCTATAGCTCATTTAGGATGCATTTTTCTTTAAAACTTGCAACTGATGGGAATCATTGATCATTTACGAAGCCCTTTCGAAAGAGAGACTTACGCCTGACCAATCCCCGGTGGACCATCGGGGACAGGTGAAGTTGTTGCACACGTCCTGTATCCGTGGCTTTAGGTCTCTGCACTCCGTCTCGCTCACCTGAAAAATTCAGGAATCGAAAACATCCCTGCAAGGATCGTGATCAGGCCTCAACGACATGCAGACATCAAAATATCCTGCGTTTCGAGGGTTATTATGGGTCTTTCGTCCATGCATTCTGCAAAGGACGATTTCCCTCGCCCCAACTACATGCGGGAGTTTTGCGTTAAATTTTGATATAGAATCGACCGTCTACTTCCCTCCATGAAGGAGACCATATCGTGTGGAAACAAAAGGAAAGGAGGGGAAAGAGGTCGAGGGACAAGAAGAGGAATAGTGCATCTATATAGGGGGAAGTGCATTAGAGAGTCTCCAGAGATAGGAACGGGACTCACGCGAGTTTCTGTCCCATTCACACGACGAGAGCACCAGACTGCCCGATACTTGATGCCTCCTCCGCAGGACGTACTGCATTCACTCCATCCTCCGCTCTTCCAGCTGTCGGCAAAAGAGAGCAGGGAATTTTGTCATCCCTTTTAGATTTTTTTCTGGCATTGCCGATTTAAGATCCGTTGTAATCGACAGAGCGACTCAAGCGAAATATTTCTTGGGAAAGGTACTTTTATCTGGACAGAAGTAATTCATCATGAAAGTATAAACGAACGTCTCCCAAGACCCATAAAAGTTTTTTTTTTTTACAGTGGCGTCAGGTGTCATAATTATAATAAAAAAGGTAATCCTCATTAGAGTTTCTCAGCAGACTATTGGCAAATAGACTCTGGAAACGCCATAGTAATGAACCAGCAATGAGTTCGAGACTCGTTGTCGCAATTACAGTTCAATTGATTCATGTCTTGTCGAGATCTCGGGGATTGTCCGAATGGATGACGGAGTTTCGCAATCTTAGGAGAGATGCTCCTTTTTACTTTCTTTTATTCCACGTGTCAGGCGAAAACTGGGAGGACTCACGTCGCAGGGCAAGGCTGAGGATTGCAGGAATATATTTTTTTCTCCGGCCTGAATACAGGGTCACAATAATCCGGATCGACCTCTGCCTGGACTTCCACGTCCTCACACAAAGGACGCGTCACCTGCATCCCTGAGAAGGTACAAAAGATCATTTCGTAATTATAAATAAATCTCCTTTTCGATGCAAGGAAGCGTAGGGGGAAGAGAAGAGGAGATAACGACCTCCATCACAAGACCGGGAGCAAGGTGTAAGTTCGGAAAGTCTCCAGGTGAAGCGAGGTCCCGTGCACGACCCCCCATCTCCTCCACACACGCCGCAGCGATCCACCTTCTTCTTCGAACCCAGCTGCAGGTCGCATCCCACTGTCTGCACGCAAAATCAGAAAGGGTTTAATTTCTAAGTCTTGCAGCTTATAGACCTCCAAAAAAAATTTTAATCAATGCATAAATAACGGATGCGGACATTTACGTGATGAATTTCGACCTTGGAGCGAATCCAAACAATGGTTATTGTCATCCCAAGTTTCCCTTCCATGACCCATAAAAGGGCCATTGGAAAATATGGAGAAAGCAGCGCAGGCCATTTATGCTCAGCGATTCTTTTTGGTTCATGGGGCAGAAGCCATAGAAAACAAGATGACAATGGAAATCGATGACCTTTTTGTGCGGACTCGACACCCCATTTCCCGAATTGGGAGAAAAAGCGTCCTCCTTCCTTCTTCTCGATGGCCTCAATAAAAATGTGACCACGAGGGAATCTTTACTTCATATATTAAATTATATGCATTATTGATTAAATACCTGGCAATGTCCTGAGACGCACATATCCAGGGAACCCGGTCGACATCGGGTCCCATCTTGGACAGTGGGGGTGAGCACGGCGATCACGGGCGATTCGTCCTCGGTGCCGGGCTCGCCTTTCACTTGAGACTCGCACACGAGGGCGCAAGGTCTCTCTGGGTCATGCCGGGGCAGCCACTTGTAGAATCTCCCGTCGTATGCGATCTGATTGTAGGCTGCGCATTGTTGAGACCGGAAGTCGCTTTCCACGGGGCAGGCCTGCATTTAATAAAATCCAGTTTGATTTTCATTTACATTAAATGTTCTCAAATTCATAAGTAGAATTATGTTTAAAAAAAAAAGACAATTCTTTGTATTATTCTAATTTTTATTATGGAGCTTGATAATCAGAGTAACATTTCCTTTTAGCAATTTATTATTGTCAAAATCAAAACGTGTAAAAATCTAATGGAGTTGCTCACGGAACGGATCTTTCTAACATAGATCCTGCTTCTTTTTTTTGTTCCTCGCGAAATTAATCCTCAGGTCTTTACTGTACGTAATGCTTCTACCTTGCAGTATTTATAGGCGATATGTTTACAGCGTTGATTACGCTTTACAAATCGCCTGTGGCTCCCCGTCCTGAAACTTGTCAACAGGAAGCCAGCAATCGAAAAGGTGAATGATGGAGCGGGGATCGCGCCGAAGAGAATCTTCCACAGACCTGCATGCTGCAGATGCGATACCGAAGGGGATTCCCTAGACATTGACGATTGGGCAGGAGGCATCGCCTGGTCTGGAACATGGCTCCACCCCCACAGCTCTGGGAGCATGGGCTCCATACGCTCCAGTCGCTCCACTTGTCCTCTCCCCCTTCTGCTCCTCCTCCCAACACCTATAACACACCACAACATCGAAGTATGAGATGTATTCCTTTGTTTAGTGCCTGTTTGATATTGGTATATGTAAGTTCCCTAACACCACTTGAAGTACATCACATTCATGAGTGGAGTTTCTAAAACCCAGAAACTTCTATCTCGCATACAAATGTAATAATAGGAAGTCAAAGAAAACAGCGCGACATATATGACACGACAAAATCATATTCCCATCGCCCAAGAGAAATGAAATGTAGCCAGTTCAGAACATCACATTGATTCCGGACGGTTGTTTACCTTGCAACAGTTCCCATGCCATCTGGGTCATGGTCTTGTGTATCTCTTTGATACGTGTTAGATATGGAACTACGCTCGATGTGGAAACCTTCATATAAATAGGAGTCTCGACCTGGTAGAATGACATGGCACAACGCATCTTCGCGAGGATCTACCTAGATCTCCATTCCTCCATCTTGCCGGAAATAGCTGGTGCATTAAAGAATGTGTCACTCTGATGGATGCGTAATGACAAGGTCAACTTTTGTTGTTCAAAGATTCAACCAAGTGTAGTCGGTTAAGATGGGTGCTGACAGCTGTAAAGCGATCCCACGTCCCGAAAGAAGGCGAGCTAAGGTGACTTCTGAAGATCAGGGAAAGGAACACCAAATATATCTCCCAATAGCGAGAACAGTAAGACCCGAACGCTCAAACCTCCTTTAGCTAACGGTCCTTTAAGAACACTAGGACTTCTATGGAGGAAAAAGAGCAGTTAAGTTTAAAGGCCCCTTTATGTCCCCCAAATTAGGTTCGTGCATTCGGGCCTAAATCTTTATCTCAAATCCTCGTCGCCACTCTTACTCTCAGGCATTCCTCAAATCACGTGTAAAAGCTTTCCCATTCGACACAGCGATGCTGAGGCAACGTTGATAGTAGGCTGAATTGTTGAGACATGATTGAAGTCGACATATCACGAAGAATCACCAACAGGAAATGTCAATTACTCATAACTCACCGTAATTTCAGCACATTGAGACTCATTCAGAGATTAGTGAAGTCGATTGAAGTCGATTAGACGTTATTAAATGCAAAATCGCTTCTTACGCTTGCCTTCACCATAATTTCAATGATGAGCATTGATATTCATTTTAAAATCAGATGCTAAAATTATTTATTTATGATATATATTGCAAATCATCGCACAGATTTAAGATACCTATTCGTATTCATGTAATATTGTTCCTCTAATGACATTCAAGCACCCAGTTTTTTCAAAGTTACTGCCCACAATTGAAATCGACTAATTGGCATATATGCTTCAGATATGACCCTTTACATAGGTAAATAATAGCTGAAGCTGAATAGCCAAACACGTCAATATTTTATCATATCGTCCAAAAGTTCATGCATTGGCAGCCCGGCCCAAGGGAACTGCAGGCAATTCTGGCCCACGGACTAGAAGAAGGATGGCACAATTGGGGACTTCCCTCCCTGGGGTGAAAGTAGAAATAAGCTCACTAATTCCATACAGATGAGAGAGTATTATGTCCACCTATGAAGCTGCGCCGGACTCTTCCACAAAGGAGGAGTGTGTCTGAGGGTGATGAGAGACCACCCAAAAGACGCTATCAGACTCACAGCTAGAGTGCCGGGGGAGAACCAGGGGTGTGATTCAAGAAATAGTACGAGGTTCCCATGTGATAAAGGAAGTTACAACCACATATTGACTCGATCGAAGCAAGAGGGTGCTCGCTTGAGTACTTCCAACCAAGCTGCGGAGTTGTATAGAAGATTACAATGATGCGGAATTATAATTGAATCGATGTCGACAAAATATATAGGCAACGTCACAAGTTGGAAACTCAATGATGATGTAATGAGATTCATGAACTTATTTTAATGTTGAACCGTGTGAGATTTCAGCATTAGTGCAACATTGAAGCAACCATTTACACAACATTACGGGAAAATTGCTACATGGAAGGAATCAATCCTTGTTTAATAGTACCACAACGTTCCTGTGTGGATTGTGTTGTAATTTGAGAGATATGTTGGAATCTGAACGTGCATAACGTACATGGAAGAACCTTTTTTGGCAGCAAAGTCAAATATACCAGTGAGCGATGTCGAATCGGAAAGGATTGTTTCGAAAGAAATCGTCGAAATGGGAAGCTTTCCAACTACGAATCACAAAGACTATTGATGGGATACAAAGAGGACTTACGATCACGAAATATTTCATTTCTCCTTGTCCCATGACAATGAAGAAACGCGGTACATCACAGAGACTTCACATGCGACGATAGAAATGAAAGTCGCCTTAACGGACTGAGAAGGAACCCAGCAAGAATTTTTCGTCCTTTGCAGCGTGTCAGCGTCTAATATAGAATAGATGCTGGCAATAAACCCAGATGTGGAGCTCTCCACGTGGATCCTATGCAATATGCATTTCTCTTCCTTGAGAGTTGCCATGGATACATCTGCCCATGGACCGGTCCATTTGTCTAGTCTATTTTTATGGCGAAGCTCGGCCTCCCATCCATAGACATAAATGGGCACCCTGATTTTTTTTTCTACTGGGAGGATGCGACTGCAACTGCATTCCTCCTTCTGGGACAAATGCGAGCCGCCGAGAGAATTTCCGGGGTTCGGGGGGGACTATAATAAGCGACCGAGGTGGGTGGTCAATAGGGAATCCATTCAAGGGTCTCCCGAACCCACCAAACAGATGCATGCAAAGGAACAAGGCCATTTATAAAAGTCACCTCTGGTCATCAGATAAACGCGGGTACACACCCCCGAACCCATCTGTTATACGAACAGGAGCCTTGTCTCTATTGGTGCACTTTCAACGATGGGGAAACAATGGATTTGTCCCACTTGCGACATTTTTGTCCTTCCATACAAATTTGTTTTCCCGGTCTATACAACGCGCCCGTTTCAGAGGCTTCCTTGCTCGTGTAGGATCCGCTAAGTGATGAGAACACGGTGAACCGTGATCTCTCCTTTAGTTTTCCTCCTCATTTCCCGCCGAGGGTTTGGCAAGTGTGAGGACGAAATCCATCAAAACGCGGGATAGAGGAAGGAGGATATAATTTATTGTAGTAGGCTCGTATTCTAATGGTGCAAGGGTCTGGAAAATACATGAGATGGAACGCGGAGTTGGCAAGTGGCCACGAGACTGCCGAGAGAGAAGAAAACTTGCCCGGCCCGGGGCCGGAAGAGGAAGCGGCAGGGATGTCGGATTATAGGCCTCTCTCATTCTCATCTCGAGATTGAAGGGACGACATTATTCCCATGAGAAAGGAAGAACCCTTTCAGGATACAAGTTGGCCGTGCGAAAAGAGAATAATGATACTCCTGTCGGCGAGAGAACTTTAGTTCTCAAGGCGAGCTCGGGACATGTGCATGTTGTATTCTATACATGTGCAATATAAAGACCAAAAAGGAGGGGATAGAAAACAGGAGGCGTACTTGAACAAGTACGTGCGACTTCCGTCCCATTGTTCCACCCCCTATCCGTCTCTAATATCCGTCCCCAATGGCATTCCTAGCAGCCCCCCCCCCCCCCCCCCCCCCCCCCACCCCCCCCCCCCC